GCATGGCAAGGGACGGGGGTACATGGGGCGCAAGGCGGGTATTGAATGGGGCCATGGCACACGAATAGCGGAGGAAGCCGTGGGGTGGCGGGGGGGGGGAGTTCAGTGGAAGGCGTTTAATTAGGTGGTGGGATTTGTGCGATGGTGTAATTATCACAATGGGAGCCTTGCCCAAATTCCACTCGTAAGCCAAATCGGTTACAGGAGATTTAAACGACGACACTGCCAGTGTTGTGTAGGTCCTGCCAAAATTCAAGCGTTAATATTTGCAATTAAAGGAAATGGAAACCGGTTACGTGCCACCAATCGGTAATGTATCAACACTGAAACGTTACCGCGTCAGCTTCATTAAGACCGCTTCCAAGGAGGGACTGTTTGAAATGCGCAATCGTTAAACAGACTGGATTAGCGGAACTCGCAATTACATCTCGGTGACGGACCCTAGCTGCGCCGCGCGAGGGTTGTTGTACTCGTGCCGGCAGTCGATGCGTCAACACCCCGGGGCTTTATTCGAGATGAATATAAACGAGGCCGATTTTCCCCCTCTCTTCTTTCTCGCGAGTAACGCGACTCCACCGGAAGTGATCACGACACCCGCATTGCTCATTTGGCACAAGCTCGCTGGTGGCGATGGTGGTGGTGATGGTGGTGGTGGAACGACAACAACAAAAAAACCCCCACAGAAATAGACTGTAACAGAGAGTAGAGCAGGCACGCTCCAGACGTGCGTTTCAGCGGTTTTATTTTTCTGTTCAGAACCCAACGAAGAGCAAATGCGCTCGCCGCAAGGCGCGCGCGGAGCGGGGAGAGCGGCGTTCCAAGTCCAGAAGGCAGCGTGGCGACAGGACGCGGCCTCTCGCCTTGTCCCCCGTTGCCCGAGTCGAGCGGCACAGCCATCGAGCGCACAGACGCCGCCGATGGCCCTGGAAGAGGACCGAGGTTACCGGGCTACGAAGGAGGCGGCGGAGTAATAGGACAGCAGAGGGGACCCCAAACCCCTCCCCCTCCTCCATTGAATTCCTTGCACGGGGCCACTACTCGTGGCCTCCCGATACCGCTTAATGACCTCTTCGTTAATCGCGAGGAGACACTCCCCCACGACGATTTATTGTTCGCCACACGCTGCAGGGCAAGACTGTAACGGCCCCGCGGGTTGTGTTTCAAGTCGCGGTCGCCTTTGCAGATTAGCCGCTAGGGATCGAGGCGAAGATTTGGTTGTTTTGTTTAATCGAGAATTTGCTTTTGCGGGAAAATCCCTGTGGGGTTTTCATTAACGGGTTTGTTCGTCTCTGCAATTTACCCCCTCCCCCCCCCCAAAAAAAAATATATATCAATCTTAATTCATTGGAAACAAGTCTGCACACGTATTAAAGCTTTTAGTTACACGTACACATATACAAATACAAAATAAATTCGGCTTAAATAAACAAGAATACAATATTTTTTGTACATTTTAAATAAACAACAGTGTTTTTCATAACCAATGGACAGCTCACAGGAATGCGTAATCCGAAAACGAGCCACCAATGGCCCAGCCTTTTTTACACGCGTAAAACAAAAACAAAGATCCCCCTTATAGCCTTAACAGACTTTTTGAGGCAAGGGCTGTTAACGAGCATCTATGAAGACCGGCACGTTACACGAGGGAGTGGGTGGCCAGCACCACGCCCAGCCAGCCGCCTTTGTCTCCACTGTGGCGATGTTTACACACCGCACCAGGTACTCATTTGAGTAGAACCCAGACCCAGTTCAGATAATCGTCACTGGTGTTGGCCATGGGCAGACATCGAACTCGGTTCGCCAGATTCGTAGCGCATCACGCTAACCACACGTAAAACACACCCACACACACACGCACGAGAACAAAAAATGTAATTTTTCCAAAAACAATACTGATCTCATAAGTCTGCTGTTGCTTGCCAAGGGAGTGGCAGAGCAGTCAAAAATCTAACGCAAGTTTTTAATCCACACGCATCCACCCACAATACCACAAGTCATCTTACTCACTTCAATCAAGTGTAGCGTGTACACAAACTGGTGAGCGAGCGAGCTAGCGTTGTCCTGCATGCTTACAATGCCGATACCTGGTTTAACAGCTCGCGTGAAAGCAATCGCCACACTTCCAATTGATGCACCGCCAATGGCATGCCCATGCCGCACAAAAACGGAGCACAGAAAAAACACCACCGATCACTGTGGCCAGGTTTGCGCTGGTACGCGGTACCTTCAACAAACATTCCACCACTTTCTGTAAATGATGAGAAACTCGCGGACAGAAAACTACATGGAGGCTGGAAACGAAAGAGTGTACTAATACGACATCACAAACGTCGATTCACACGGTGGTATTGTGACCATAAAATAAATCAATCGGTCATCCCAGCATGCATTACACATCACACGAAAGGCACGCTGGGAGCTTATTCACAACGAGTAGAGTATAGCCATCGTTGCCAAATAGCAAGGCCATGATTTTTTAATATTGAGTGCTGGGGTGGAGGGGGGGGTCTTTAACAAGACTGTTGCTCACTACGTGCTGGTGTCATGCGAGCTCGGTCCTCCCGTCATGCCTTGAATGTCACGTGCCAGGCATGATGGGAGGATCCGGCTTGTGGCCAGTGGCATGCCTTGCATGTCACATGACATCGCCATGCTGTGTGTATACAATTGCACGGCAGCCTCGTTTTAGACGAGCGGAGGCCAAAACCGTGGCCATAATATTTGGCAATAGTAGCTATGCTGTGTTTATGATGATTCCTAACAAGAGTGAAACCGCTGTACATTTGGCTATTTGTCCTCCCCGTTAACCTCATATAATACAGACAAATTATGGTCGAAAAAGCACATTTGTTCTGCCTTGAATCCACCTGTTGAATGTGGTATGACTCCCTACAGGCCACCTGGTTCATGCCAAACCAGGTGGGAAAGGAAACCCATGATGTATGGATATTGAACTTCTTTCGCACCGTTTGTAGCCAACCGTGCTAATCGGAGGTGCGTACTAGTGTTGAGCATCACAGAGGAAGGCTGGAAGTTCCGGGACTTCAGTGCCGATGACCGCGTGTCTAGCCCCAACTTAAATGATGCCCGCGATTTTAAAAAAAATGTCAAGCTCATCAACAAATGACATGAATCATTTTCCGCTAGCGAATTTGAAAAGAAAAAAAGGGACAGATACATTGATTTTATTTCCACTGCTCTATCTACATTAATTCTCCGTGAAATTGCATCATTCCCATTGAGAAGCTGCTTAAGAAGCCCAGCATGGTGGGCACGACAATCGATGCACTCCCGCGGCTCACAACCACACAGCACTTTTTTCCCACACCTTATATGAGCGCTGCTGACTACGTACGTTGCGAAAGAAGTTCAACATGCATGCATACATTTATAAATGCATTTAAGCACGTAGAAAAGCTGCTAAGTGGGCACGTTAGAAACACTCGCTTATGAAACGGCATTTAAACCCCAGTGTAGCAGCTTGCGTAGATGGAGCGGTGGCACAGTGGTTAGCACGCTGGGATTCTGAATCTAGAGACCCGAATTTGATTATCGGCCACGGCTAACATCAGTGACGAGCGATATCTGAACCGGTGCTGCACCCAGCCTCACCTTCACAAACCCCCACTGACCAGCGTGGTGAAGTAGTCAAATAACCTTCATGACCCTACACAGCATTGCAGAGAAAGTTGGGGGGGGCGATAAGACTTCATCTATTAGTGCCAGTGGATTTACATAGGGTTGTAAATTGTCATTATGCAACAGATTGCAGATGTTGCATTATCACAAGAGATACACAATGCATTTGAAAGCACGTGAATAAAAAGGCACAATTTGCACTCTCGTATTCACAAGCAATGTACCCCACCCATAGGAAACAGCCTCAAGGCTCTCTCCACTCTTGAATGAAAGCCAAGGCCAGACGACGCTAAACTTCACTCAACGTTGCCGCCCCCTGCCATGTCGCAAAGCAACCAATACTTATTTATTTATTTTACAAAAAGAATTTTGTTCCAGCATCAGGTCTGCCGCAAGTCAGTCACCGTGGCTAGATGTTAACGACCTCGCCTGGTATGCAAGTCGTGGGTTTGATCCCGACCCCGACGCCTGTATATTTGGAGTTTGCGTGTTTTGGATTTTTCTCCGGGTCCCCCGGTTCGTCCCTCCACATTTAGAAACGCGCGTTTAGAGTATTTGGCTGCTGTAAATTTCCACACGATCAGCCACTTCGTTGAGCTGTCATTTGTGGCCAGGTTGCTTCTGAAAGGAGAACCACGTAGCTCGGTGAGCTTTACGTGGTAAAATATAAAATAGTTTTGTTTATCGTTCTAGTTTCAGTCGGTTGTCGAGCCCCTCACAAATACTGACATTCAGATCGCTGAACAAATGTGCCCGTGTTTAAAAGGTAGAGAGCACATGTGTACCGCATAGTCGGATTGGTCGCAAAGGATTTTTACGAAAGCGTGGCTACCACCGTATTTTCCTCCAGGGCCTCCAAGCATTCCCCTCACCGCCGCGGCCTTCCTGCAATCGCGGATCTATTCACAGTGGCCGGGTGCACAAAAAGAAGGCCTCATTACTGGAACTGCAGACAAAAAGATGTCCATCTCCCGTGCCAGCTAACTTTAATAACGACATGCAGACAGGGGGTCTTCCGGTCTCTCCCTTTGAGGTGGTGGTGGTGGTGGTGGTCACGACCCTCATAGCTTCCGTGCGGTCCGCGAGTTTATTGGTGCCGCGAGGGATCGTTGAATTTAAAATGACATCAATTGCAAGGTCGGTCCTAAGTTCTTAAGTTTTCAATGCAGAATTAACGACTAAGAAGGATGGTCGCATTTTAGGCGCAGCCTATTTCTGTGGTTTCGGCAAATAAACTAAAAACACCACCAGCACCCAGTGACGGATGATCCTCGTAGCAAAAGTAGCTCCACGTGTAGTAGCTACGGGCCCCGTGCTAAATACATTCAAGCCATCAATTCCGGTTCAGTGATTCTGCACTTGCTCTATGACTATAGTACTATACTGCCTTCAACTTTTATGAACGACTGGGTGTTTAAGGTTAGCGATTTGTCGTATTATCTGGCTGTATAGCAAATGAAAAAACACAATTACTTTACTATGCAAGCTAAAAATTGTGTCTTAATATGTATGCTTTTTATATTTAGGGCCTTTTTATAACATGCTACAGGCCCCGCACTAGCAGCATAACATCAGGATCTGTACCCCCAATGGGGCTATCAGTAGCTCTCACACATCTACTAACTCAGAGAAGTCCACAACTCACACGCTTTATCTAGAATTAATACGCCTAATCCGGCGCGATTCATTACGCTTACTCCGGTAAACTCGACTCAACGTTTGTTCACCAACTGCGGAGTCCAAACCGACTTGGTCAGTGAGATGCAGAAACTCCGCCTGCAGCACGAAAACTTCAGCTCAGAATCAGTGGAACGCAAAAGCTGTAGCAGACACTCGCACTCACCTGCGCGCGCACAGCGTATGACAAATGTAACACAAACACATCTCTCCAGTACAATACAACATCTGTCATAGCCCACGGATAGGCTGGCAGGCAGGCGTACCCCAGGCACTTCCATTTCGTCGCTCGAGCCATCACGGGTAGAATCGTTTTCCTTGGCAGTGCATTAAAACCGCACGGCCTCATTCGCGAGCTCACCTCCGCTCATGGGCGGCAAATACGCTCCGGCTACGATTGCATACGTTTCAAAACGCACGGGTCTCAAAAACAAAATGCGCCGTTCATTCCGGTGCACTTTTAACAACAACAACCACCCTTCCAGAATGAACGTTAAAAAAAAAAGCAAAACATCAACAACAGCAATAGGTTCGTCACGCGTGAAACACGCACGCACGCGCGCGCGCGCGGGGGAAAAAAAAAACAACTCATCGCTTCTTCTTCTGCTGCTGCTTGATCATCTTGCGCCTCCGCAGGATCATCTCGTACAGCTTGTCCAGCCCCTCGGGGAGGCCCTCGCCGATGATGGCGCACGCCGGCTGCAGGTGCCACAGCGCCGCGGGCCCCAGCTCCGCGAGCGCCAGCAGCCGCTCCACCTCGGCGGGCGCCAGCGCCGCGGGCAGGTCCTGCTTGTTGGCCACGACGAGCACGGGCACGCCCTGGCACTCGGGGGTGCGCGCCACGCGGTGCAGCTCCGTGCGCGCCTCCTCCAGGCGCTCGGCGTCCACCGAGTCCACGACGAAGACCACGCCGTCGGTGCGCCGGGTGTACGAGCGCCACAGCGGTCGCAGGCGCTCCTGGCCGCCCACGTCCCAGAACTGGAAGCTGACGCCGCGGGCGCCGCCCGCCCCGGGCCGCACCTTCTCCATGTTGAAGCCGATGGTGGGCACCGTGTTGACGAACTCGTTGAACTTGAGGCGGTAGAGCACCGTGGTCTTGCCGGCCGAGTCCAGGCCCAGCATGACGATGTGGAGGGAGCGCAGCGTCGCCAGCTTGGCCAGCGGGGAGCTGCCGCCCGATTGCGACGCCCCCATCGTGGCGGACGGCCCCCCGCGCCGGGCACGGTAGAGGAGCGGGGGGGGGGGTGGTGGTGGCGGGTCAAGCGGGCCGGACCTCCGTGTCGCCGCCCGCTGCTCGTCCTCCTCACCTTCCTCCCAGGTCGCGAGCGAGATAATTATCTCGTCCGACTTCCCTCGCCGCCGCCGCCGCCGGGAGGCAGTTCTTAAAAAGAAAACGCAGACGGATTAAAAACGAAATAATTTACGAGTGTTAAATATTAATTCCGGATTCACGTCGTCGTAAAAGGTTTAGCGGCCCGGGATCGATCGGGATCTCCGTTGTTACTGCACGTCATCGTCGTCCGTCGCGATGAATCGCTACGGCGCACTCTCTGACCGTGGTAATCTGCAAGCGCGCACACTGGATAAAGCCGCTTGCTCAATTAACACAACACGCATTACAGCGTTTGCTATCGTTAATTGATACGAGGACAGCAGTCTAACGTGTATTGTGTTAATTGTTCTGCAGATTATTAAAAATACTCATTAACATAATGTGTCGTTATCACACTTGGGCTTGCAAATATATCCGAGCGGTAACATATCACACTTTAGCAAATCCCTTTCCCTTAAAAACACGCATTTCGTTTCACTGGTGCCGAACTTACAAACCGCTGCTGCTCCGCAAACGTGAAACGCACCGCACTGACGAGGGTTCTGCTGCGGCGAAGGAGTCTGGGTACTCGCCAAACTCGTTGGGACTTGCCCATATTAATAACGACAACAACAGAGCAGCCCGACTTCCGTCACTATCTGGCAGCTGACCCTGAGGCACTCGCAATGCCTCTGCAGACCCTGTCAGCGCAATATAATGGGGCCCTCGTACAACAGGTGGTAGGGACATAGAGCCCAACTCAAGTCATCTGCCCCCCCACCCCACCCGGCCCTCCCAGAGGGCTCGGACAAAGGACATTCCCCCGCAGTTTAACACACAAAGACAAAGATCCCCCATATAGACTTTAAGAAACTTTTTGGGGAGTGCTGTTTGTGAGCACGAGCAGGTGGGTGGCCAGCACCACGTTGGCCGCCTTTGTCTCCCAAGTGGCGATGTTTACACACTGCACCAGATACTCATTTGAGGCTGAGTCGACCTAGGGGGGGTCCAGGACCAGTTCAGATAATCGACGTTGGCCGTGAGCGGGAATCGAACTCTGGTCGCCGGGTTCGTACCGCAGCGCGCTGACCGCTGCGTGACCGCTCCCCACAGTTTCAAACAAACACACACACCCACACACAGAATGTCGCACGGAATAACACGCGCAGTCTCTTCAGGATTTTTTACTGCGGGAGCCTTCAGAGGGAGAGTCGCATGCGATGCACTTGGATGCCTAAAGTCTTGTGCGGCCCTTGCTGCCAATCCATTGCTGGCCGTGCGCCTCCCCACATCGTCACGTGGGTTGTGATTCAACCACCCTTCACGACACGCTGGCCAGTGCGGGCTGGTGAAGATGGGGAGCTCAGGCATGGAAGCACTCTTCAACAGGGGTCCCCCAACCCCCGGGGCCGCGGACCGGTACCGGTCCGTGGCCTGTTAGGAACCGGGCCACACAGCAGCAGCAGCAGGAGACGAGAGCGGTGAGTCCGCAGGTGGCCCGCACACATTATTTTATTATTTACCACTTCCGTCCGCGCCTCTTTCCCGCGCTTCGCACTCGTCTCAGTCACAGTGTTGGTAAAGCCCACGAGCTAACCCCCTAGTAGCCACAATGAGTAAAAAAAAACAAACGTCGCTGGAGAGCTTCTTTGAAAAGGGGGGAAAGACCCAATGATGACCCCCCCCCCCCGGTCCGTGAAAAAAATTGTCTTCCACGAAACCGGTCCCTGGTGCCACAAAAAGGTTGTGGACCGCTGCTCTACAACAATGGGTTTCTGCTGCTGCACGGTCCTCTGCTGCTTACGCCTATACAGTTTTCTGTAGTGTGCACAAAATATTCTCTCATTGTCCTTTTCCCGGTTGTATTAGTCTGTATGTGGTATTTTTGTCCATCTCTGTGCCTCGGTGTATTTCTCTTTCCATATATCTGTATCTGTCTATCTGCGTAATCGTTCAAGATCCGAGTGTCTATCACTGTCCTTTCTGCCTATGTTTGTGTCTCCATATCTGTTGCGTCCACATCTGTCGAGCGTTATCCATCTGCACCTGTTTTATGGTCCATCTTTCATACCTTGATAAGTGGCCATTAAGAATGTAATTCAGACGGTGGTGGTACAGCAACAGATTCTTGAGTCCTAAGTGCGCAGAACTTTGACCGTTACACCTCCTCGTACGAGTTCGTTTAACTCAGGTACTTTTGGGTATTCTCCCAAATGTTCAATGCTCATTATTGCCAATTGGCTACAACATCCCAATTTGGTGACCCTCACAGAAAACAAATCGTCTTCAGACTGTGAGGCTTCCCTCAAATGAGAATTATGATCATGGAGATGGCTCAAGCCATCTCCACGGACAGCGCTACTTCCGTCAACGATTGTCAAGGCTAAAAAAATATATATATCCCGGAAACTCAAGGATTACATTTTTTAATGGCACAAAAAGAAGCTCCTCGAGACTCGCCGCATTATTTCAACCGCCGCGACGGGAGAGCGGAACTGGATTGCGAGTCCGAGCGTGCAACCATTGCGTCACGGCAGAATCGCGGCTCTTGATGTGCGAGAGAGAAAACAATCTTGTTGCATCGAAGTAATTCCATCCAACGGCACGACTAGTGTACTAAAGCTCACCACCTCTGTGTGGGTTGATGTTGTTACAACACACTGTATGCCGATGGTGGCTCTCCCGGTGCCATTTCATTTGAACGCGAGTCTGCAATATTCTATGAATGAAGCAAATCCTGCCGAGCAACATTCAACTTTTAACAATTTAGTTGCGTTCAGTCAACATTCTAACACCTGAGAAATGCCGTTCTCAAAATAGCAGCGAATGGTTTCAACGTACGCACGTCCAAGAGCAGGGCCGACGACAACAGCTTCTACAGCGCGCGCACGCACGCGACGCCTTTTGGAGACAACAAACGCATTCGCAGCACCTCCCTGCGTCACGCCGACACGCGTCACCAGTCCAGGACATCTGCCACCCACCACGCAGGGTTCCTGCAGGAACCACAACCACCGCCGTGTATTTCTCTATGCCAGATGCGAGACTCAAGATTCTTTATTTTCAGCTCATGAGGTTCCGCTGGACGAGTCAGCTCGGTCACGAGGACGACCGCAGGCCCAAGTCTGTCGGACAGCAGCGACGGCAGTTGGAGGACATTGCAGTTACATAGAGTTGCATAGAGATCCACAGCATTGCATGCAGATGCGTACAGTTACATATAGACTCCCGAGTTACATCGAGATCTATATTGACACAAATTCATAGTGACACGGATATTCAGAGTTACATAAATATTCACAAAGATGCATAGAGTTTCATAGAGATCCAGTGCTACACAGAGACTCAGAGTTACATAGAGACCCAGACTGTGTTAGTTCAGCTGGTAAGGCCCCATTAAGCGAAACAGCTCTGTAACAAGTTTGACCACAGCCCAAGACGGTCGGTAGGGGCGGCAGTTAAAGGGACACTGCAGACCCCATGCCGACTTTCCCCGAAAAAATAGTACGAACAATAAAGTGCTTACATGCAGATCAAAATCAGTGTAGAAAAAAATCATTGCCAGGCGTATGTAAACAAACCGTACATTCAGCTTCGGGCAAAGTAGAGAACTTAGTTGCACCATTCGCAATCGGGCCCACCGATTAGAAATATTGGGGGTTATCTGTAAATTAAATTAAATTAATCTCATGAATTGTTGACTGTTGTAGTGAATAAGCGAACTGACCTCCAGTGGCTGGAGGTTGTCCCGTGAACAAATATGCACGTTACATTACTTTAAAAAAAACATCGATGCTAAAACAAGCGATTCCTATATAAGCCACAAAAAAGAGCAACATGCACACAACAAGCCACCGTTCGCCACTAAGTGACGGTGACATCACCACTGACTTTGTGCCACTCTTTGGTTATTTCGGTAAATTCACGTAGGTTTAAAATAAATTAAATCACGTTTCGGGCGCAACACAATGCGTCCATCCCACCTGATGACAGACGCTTGTGTTGCGCCCGAAACGTGATTTAATTTATTTTATACCTACGTGAATTTACCGAAATAACCAGAGTATGGATCCCTGCAGTCACGAAAACTTCAAACCTAGATTGACTTTGTGCCAGGCTAGGTGCACTTTGAGGCCGTCATGTTAAGTGTGGAGGGCTCGCTGTCAGGAGGTCATGAAACAGAGGTGTTATGGGTTATGGGTCAAGGATGGCAGGGTAGCATCACAGTGACAACACTTTAGCCTCAGTAAGAAGGGCCTGGGCTCGATTCCAGACTCGGCGCTTTTGTTTGAAGTTTATATATTCTCTACCCCTGTTTTGCGTGGGGTTTGCCTTCGGATTTTCCGGTTTCTCCCGTAACTAAACAAATCACAAAGTGTAAATGGCATGAGCCACAATAAGCCAATGGTGAAATACTGCCAGCAAATTACTCAATTGGGCTTACACATAGCAAACATCGCCATGGTGGCGAGATGTTAACTACCTCGCCTGATATACAGGTTGTGGGTTCGATCCCGATTCCGACGCCTCTATATTTAGAGTTGGCATGTTCTCCCCGTGGTCGCGTGGATTGTTATCCGGGTCTTTCCTCCACATTTAGAAACATGCATTTAGTGCATTTGTGTCTGCTATAAATTTCCACATGATACGCCATTTCGTAGAGCTATCATTTGTGGCCAGGTCACTTCTGAAAAAAGAGCTATCTAGCTCAGTGGGCCTTGCCTGGTAAAATAAAAATAAAAATGTTTATAAGACATGGCAGGTCAGACCCTCCTGAAAAAAGTCTTGAGACCTCAGCGACTCTTTCATGGGTAAACAAGTAGAATAACAACCGACTGATATCACTGTTGCACCTTCTCAGCGCACGCACGCACACACCCACACACACACACAGGTGCATCTCCCTTTCCACTTGCATCTCCCGCGAAGCACACATTCCGAACGGGAAGGGGGGGGGGGGGGTTCAAAGGTTCAGCCAATGTGGCGCGCACACTTAACACACACACACTTAACAAACACACACATAACACACACACACATACTTAACACACACACACACACACACCCCTTGCCCTGGGACACAATCCCATTACAACATGCGGCGTGTGCAAGACGCGGCGGAGGCCACGGGCAAAAAATTGAAGCTTCAGCCGCGCTCGCACATTGCTTGTTACGTTTTCTAAACAGGGCTTCTCGACACTCCAGTTCCTCGTGAGCCAACCCCCTCCATTCACTCACTTGCCCGCCTTGCCACGTTTATCAATCTTCGTGGTAGAAATAGGAAATAACTTTGTTAAATCTAGATTTGAAGTTTTCGTGACTGCAGGGATCCATACTCTTTGGTTCTTTCGGTAAAGTCACGTGGGTATAAAATAGGTGATTTAAAATTATTTAGTTTTATTGTATACCTACGTGACTTTACCGAAAGTACCAAAGAACATTGTTAAAGTTACACGCTGCACGCGCCTGATGATCGATGGGACGCACACTTGCGCACAAACACAAAGCCAGCCCCTCACCCGGTGTAGCTTCAACAGACTGTTGGGGCAAGTGCTGCTAGGGAGCACCTGTGTATGTACTGTATGTAGAACTTCTTTCGCACCGTATGTAGCGAACCGTGCTAATCGGAGGTGCGGGGGAAGGAGAAGGCCGGCACGGTACACGAGGGGGTGGGTGACCAGCACCACGCCCGGCCGCCTTTATCTCCCTGGCGGCGATGTTTACACACCGCACCAGGTACTAATTTGAGGCTGAGCTGAGCTAGGGGAGGTCCAGGACTGATTCAGCTCATCGTCACTGATGTTGTCCGTGAGCGAGCAGGAGTCGAACTCGGATGGCCGGGTTCGTAGCCCAGCACGCTAACCGCTGCACTACCACTCCCCCCCCCCCCCATACACTACAAGACAAAGACCCCCCGTGTAAGTTACCACACAGTAAACGTAAACATGCCTAACTTTGCAAAACAAATTCTATTGTCAATGGTTTGTTTAAAATTACCATAATAAACTCTGAATTGTTTATACAAAGATCCCCCGTATAACCTTAACAGACTGTTGGGGCCAAATGCTGTTAGCGAGCACCTATGAAGTGAACGGCACGGCACACGAGGAGGTGGCCAACACCACGCCCGGCCGCCTTTGTCTCCCCCAGTGGCGATGCTTGCTCACCACACCAGGCACTCATTTGAGGCCGAGTCGACCTAAGGGAGGCCCATGACCGTGCCACACTACCGCGCACACCCACACGAGCTCCATCTCCATTTGGATCAAGCGCCCCCCTCTCTCCCCCACGCGTGACGCACATCGCACGCGCACACAGATCCCCATGCCCGAGGTCCTACCGATCATCGGGCGCGTGCAGCGTGTAAACGAATGACCCCCGATTCGTAGGTTTGAACGATTTCCCCAAGGGTGGGCGCGATCGTGGGGGGAAGGGGGGGGGTTGCTTCTCGAATCACGACGGCAGTGGGGGGGGGGGGGGGGTCGTCACACCGCCAGCTACTACGCATTTGAGAATCCGGGGGTAAGAGAAGCAGAGCGAGTTTCACTTCACACTCTTACAGAGGTGGAGACACCAGGACTCGCGACTCGTCCTGTCACAGGATCGCACCGTGGGGAGGGAGGGAGGGAGGGAGGGGGGGCGATCAAATCCTCTATGCAGACGCAGTTGAACAACACGGCTGGAATGTTTCCGTACAGCACCGTGAGCCACCGTCCCACCGTGGCAGGTTACAGCGATCGCCTTAGCCAGCCGTCTCTTACCTCCCCCCCACACACACCCCTTACCTGCTGCTGGGTGAGTAACAGGTAACCGCAACGGCGCAGACACATTAGAAAGTAACCCAGGAAGGTAGCAACGGCGTCAACTTAAGTTGCGTCAACCTCTGTAAAAGGGCGAGCCGCGCACGATACCGGCTATGCTGATCGTTCGGCGTGTCGGAATGCACGCGCGTCAATGCGCAGCGAGATGCATTACGCGACTCACACAATGGTAATTTGTTGTTGTGAATATTTAAGCCTAAAAGTGGGTCATTGCCTCCGTGGCTCCCACCCCCGCGGTTACGCACAACGCCTGCATCCCAGCTCTCACCGGCGCGACTGCGTCCGCGGGTGTCCTCTCTGCTCCCAGGTCCCAAGATCCCAGGTCTCAGATCCCAGAGTCGCGGGGTCGTCCCGAGTCCCGGGTCTCACTCGCGGGGTCCCCCCTCGTGGGGAGCCGCGCTGCTACCCGGAGAGAGGCCACGCCGCCGGCAACGCGAGCGCAGCGCGACGTAGCGAGCGAATGCAGCGACACCTCCCCACAGAAGCTCTCTCCTCCTCGTCGTCGTCGCCTTCCCCTCCTCCCCTCTCTCCTCCCCCGAGACTCTCCCCCCCCCCCCCTTATCGCGGGCGTGAGTCATGGGAGGGGGGAGGCGGGGACAGGGGTCTCATGAATAGGGGCCGGGCTGAGCCGAGGCGTTCTGTGCTGGGTGGGGGGAACAAAGCACTGAGCAGAGTCCATGCCCCACTGTGGGTGTGATGGAGGTGGAGGATGGGGAGGGATGGGGAGGGATGGGGCAACAGGGGCGGACCCCGGTCACCCTAGAGTGCAGGAGGAGACTATTGAAGGTACAACTACGTCTATTGTTTTTTTATTTTACCAGGTAAGAGCCACTGGATTATGTAGCTCTATTTGTATAGCAGCCAAATACTCTAAACGCACGTTGATTCTAAATGCGGAGGAAAATCCAAGCGACCACGGGGGGGGGGAGAGACGCTGCAAACTCCAAATATACAGCACGCGTTAAGTGATTCGAATTTTATATCATGCCCCTAAAACCAAGCTCAATACAAGATATGTATTGAGGCAAGATACGTATCATTTTTTTGTATCGTACTATACTGTTTGTAGCTGGCCGCTTAGTAATGTCTAGGGTCTTTGAAGTGACCTTGAAAGCCAACGAACACGGTGCCGGAGCGGCGGGATCTCTGCCCCGACATCTCCGGCCTGGGGCTAGGGGGAATCGGTGAACAGCCACGGAGTGAGGACGCGGTAGCACGTGGCTTGTTGCCTGCATTCGGCCCGTCGCGTTGGACAATACTCCCAAGCATCTGGCCCCCCGGGTTATGTAATTCACGCAAATAAATCGTCGTTCAGAGTTGTATAGTGCGCGTCTGTTTCTCGAAGGAGGTGCCCGTCGAATTCTTGCAAAGATACGTCTTGGAACTTCTATTGTACGACAGGTGAACGTGTCGTTAAAAAGGTTGCACATCCAGCGACGGATTGACAAAGGGGGATGTCGGTCAATAGCGTGGAACTTATACGTCATTATACTTCCCGAATGTACGGTAGTCTATTCACGACACGTGAAACCAGAACGTATTTAATTTACACACGAGTCAGAGCCGTTGCTTGGGTACCGCGAAACGAGGCGACCGCCCCAGGCCCTGCGCCTTTGGGGGCACCGCGCTTCGGCGTCAGATGTAACACATCCGGTTCAGTTTAAAGGCGTCGGGGTGGCCCACATGTTGGGTTTTCCCCTGGTCCCGCACCCCCCCCACCCCTCCATGTACGATCTTGACTATAGTAATATAAAAGTACCCTTCCTTCAACGACGGTCCTTCCCGACCCCCCTCTCATGAGTGAGAGGGGGGCACGCTCTCTGTGTGTCTCTGTGTTATCTCTCTCTGCTTGCGTGTCTGTCTGTGAATCTCCGTGTCTGTGTTTTGTCTCTCTCTCAAATGTAGCAATCTTTGGAAGAACGTAATCAACCAGGTAGGGTGTTGACTGTTATGTTAGCCGACTCTCTGTTGTATTGCATTATATTTCTAAGTTTACGAGATTTACTTTCTCATTCATTCGCACCTGATGACGATTGCTTGTGTTGCAATCGAAACTTCGTATTTTATTATTTTATTCATTTTATTTCTATGTGACTTTACCGAAATAACCAAAAAGTAATTCCTGCAGTCACGAAAGCTCCAAATCAAGCTTTGGAGGAGAGCTCTTGTCAATAACATCTGGTAACCCAGCAGCGGTTGTTTCGCAAGCCAGACTCTGCTGATGAGACCCAAAAGCTACAAACCGGTTGGAAGCTTTGTTCCGCGTGGACAAATGCACCTTGATAACGTTTTGGCCCTTCGAGCGAATAGGCTGCTAGGAAATACAACAGTCGTGTTCACTCAATTTCGTTTATACACGCGGAGAGCTCCGTTAAAATAATCTCGTTCATTAAGAGCACTCGGCGGAGTCAATCGGAGGCGCTCGCCTCCCCGTGACTCGCGCGCGCCACGGTTCATCGGCACGGCCACCACGCCGCGATGGGACCCACGAAGCCTGAGCGCGCTTCTGTCAGCGACTTGTTGACGCGAGAAGCGTTATTGGCCTGTTTTTTTTTAATGTGCCCGGCAATTATGTGGCAATGGCCGTGATGTTGTGCCGCCTTGCCTTGAAACGATTTGCCCGGGAAATGCTACGCCCGATCTCGTCGGATCTCGGATGCCAAGCAGATTTTGGGGCCGTCCATAAATGACGGCCCGCCCCTGGGGGGGGGGGGCGGGGGTGAGAAGTTTGACATCACATCAAAATGCGCAACTTTAAATAAATATAGACAGCACGTTGTACTTAATTAAATAGATTTTTTTATGTTTTCTCCTACAACATCAGAGTGCAGCGTCACATTAAATAGGCACTACAATGACAATAGTTTAAAGCGATTTGAAGATTGCTTTTTTGGGGGGGGGGGGGAGCAGAGCTTTGTGACGTCATATTTGAGGGGGGGGGGTCTGACTTTTTGTGACGCCGTGTGACGAAGGGGGGGGGAGTCAAAAATCGTCGAAAATCGCGTGACGTCATTTATGGACGGCCCCTTTGAGCCTGTATAGGGTTTGGTAGAGTGATCGATGTGCACACCACATTGCCATCTGGAGTTGCTGCGTTGTGGGCACTCCGGAAACATATACAGTATGTGTACGTTCTCATGTCTGTGTTCCCCGCCTTCACAATCCCACACTCACCTGTGTGGCGAGATGTAGAATCATCTCCATGGCCCACACGGCTTGGGGAGGCATTATCCAACACTCGATTGCGATAACAAAAGTCCATGTCGGGTTGAGCCTGGATGGGGTTGGACAGGGCATTGAAGTGTGCTGGCTTCGGGTTCATTTCTCCAACGCATGAAGAAAAATACTGCAGTTGTGAAGCATAGTTGCAGCTTCATCTATTAACAAACGCTTAATATGAATATGATTGCTATGCCCTGCTTAATATCTTAAATGGTTACATAGTTCATCATTAGACTTCCTTTGCCAGTACCAAAATGTAATGATAAGGTTTTCCCCCTTTTTTCTGGCAACAAACTGAAACCTTTTTACTAGGATTCATGTCTGCATTAACCACAATACCTGCAGTCAAAATGCAAAAAAGAACATACTATGATAATATATGCATTGTCCTTGAAACTGATTGGTCCACACCAAGGGACGGCTTTCTTTTGTTTGCATTTTGACTGCAGGTATTGTGGTTAATGCAGAAATGAATCCTTGTAAAAAAGGTTTCAATTTTGTTGCCAGAAAAAAGGGGAAAAACCCGATTGTTACATGGGTACATAGTATCAATGTTCATTTAAAAACTCAAAATATTTTATTTTATTTTACCTGGTAAGGCCCACCTGTTCACTACCTCACTCGTTAACTCATTAATCCCTTACTTGCAAGCCAAATAAACCACTAAACAAACGAGCAGCTCACGAAATTGCGTTACGACGCATTAAGCCGAGCGTCTGTCGGACCTTAACGTCCCCAAAAAGAGCATCGCGAGCCCAGGTGAAGTTGTGAAATGGAATCCGAGGCGAACATTCGCGACCCGTCCTGAGCATCACCGTTAGCGCCTGCTCTGACGCCGCAGGCGCTAACGGCCCCGCAACCTCGGCGCGAAAGAAGTTCAACACACGTACATACATACGTACATACGTGCTTGCAATGGGCTCGGAGAATTATCTCCACCCCGGACTCCCCAAATAGGGGCCTCGGCGACAGCCTGGCCCGTAGCTTTCATCCGCGGACAGGCGAGGGTGTGATGCGATAGTCTGATACACAATACGGACACAGTAAATTATAGGGCAAATACAAAACGAATAGTTCGGAAAAAGAAATTCGTACGGATCCCCTTGCTTGGCCTCAAATTGTTGGCCCAGGTGCCGTTTGCGAACAGCGAGCAAGGCACGCGGAGGGGTTTGTGGATAAGACGAACGGCGCACGCCTATCGAGCTGCCTTCGTTACCCAGATTGTGGCACGGTATTTACACACCGCACCAGGCACTTATTTAATGTCGAGTGGACCTAGAGGGCAATTCGAATAGGTTAAGACCTGGCAATAGCTACATTGCGCCACCGCTCCCGACTAACATCTCACGCCACGCTCCCCGCGAGATGGCAATGCAGGGAAGGGTCCCACGATTCATTTAAACAGCTGTCACATCCAGATCGAGAGGAAGTACATTTAACACAGCCGCTCTCGATCTGATTTCAATATTTATACCCGGCCCGGACACACGAATATCCCAGCGATCCCCCCCATCCCCCCCACATCCCCCATCCCCCCCACATCCCCCATCCCCCCCACATCCCCCATCCCCCCCACATCCCCCCCCCCACCACATCCCCCCCCCACATCCCCCCCCCACATCCCCCCCCCACATCCCCCCCCCACATCCCCCCCCCACATCCCCCCCCCCACATCCCCCCCCCACATCCCCCCCCCCACATCCCCCCCCCCACATCCCCCCCCCCCACATCCCCCCCCCCACATCCCCCCCCCCACATCCCCCCCCCCCACATCCCCCCCCCCACATCCCCCCCCCCCACATCCCCCCCCCCACATCCCCCCCCCCACATCCCCCCCCCCCACATCCCCCCCCCCCACATCCCCCCCCCACACCCCCCCCCCCCACCCCCCCCCCCACACCCCCCCCCCCCACATCCCCCCCCCCACACCCCCCCCCCCACATCCCCCCCCCACATCCCTCCCCCCCCACATCCCCCCCCCACATCCCCCCCCCCACATCCCCCCCCCACATCCCCCCCCCCCCACATCCCCCCCCCCCACATCCCCCCCCCCCACATCCCCCCCCCCCACATCCCCCCCCCCCCACATCCCCCCCCCCCCACATCCCCCCCCCCCACATCCCCCCCCCCACATCCCCCCCCCCCCCCACATCCCCCCCCCCCCCCACATCCCCCCCCCCCCCACATCCCCCCCCCCCCACATCCCCCCCCCCACATCCCCCCCCCCACATCCCCCCCCCACATCTCCCCCCCCACATCTCCCCCCCACATCCCCCCCCCACATCCCCCCCCGACATCCCCCCCCGACATCCCCCCCCGACATCCCCCCCCGACATCCCCCCCCGACATCCCCCCCCGACATCCCCCCCGACATCCCCCCCCAACCCCCCCCACATCCCCCCCCACATCCCCCCCCCACATCCCCCCCCCACATCCCCCCCCACAATCCCCCCCCCACATCCCCCCCCCCACATCCCCCCCCACATCCCCCCCCCACATCT